TGTAGCCACCATGAGGTTGACACTTTCCACCTGAACTAGACCACCTTCTTCCAGCAGAAGATTCTGCATCATCTGCAGTGAAAGAAAAACACAAAATCAAATGTTTCAGAGTAGTTGACAGTAGTTTTACAGTTCCTGATTGTTTTTTTGTGTGTCTGTTTTTAAGATTCTGTGATTAAAGGTTTATCCTATCTGCCACACTGAAGGTCATGTGCTTTAGAGTGTATTCAGGCAGCTACACAGGATCAACATAAACCGTTTGTTGCTCCAACAGTTTGAAAAGATTTTCAAAAGTTTTGGAAAAGTTACCCATCCAGCATTATAGGGGCTGCAAATGTGATTGGTTTCTGCTAAAAACTCTCAAGAGCATCTAGAAGAGAGTGCTTTGTGGCATGTGGGAGGGAGAGTTGGAGATCTGACTGATTGCTGTATGTGTTGTAGCTGAAAACAAAAACTGTATTAAGATTATTTTTATCTCAAAATGATGTTGGGGTGAAAGGAGGATAGGACAGCAGCCTGGTGGATGCATGCCGACCAGGTCCAGCTGTACAGGTGCAGCCTTATGTCTCCACTGCTCCACCCTCTGTAACCACAGCCCCAGCACTGTGGCAGAAATCATTCAGACACTAGCTTTGTTGAAAATCTGCCCTCATCTACACCAAATTTGTTGCTACATTAAGTATTGATAAGCTAGCGATCTTTTCAAGATTTTCTGGCATTCTCATTCACTCATAGACTCAAAAAAGAAAAAAACATACTTTTCTGTCTTCTTATTCGTCACCGTTTAATATAGTAAATGGTATGTACTTATATAGCGCCTTTATTCAAGTTAGGAGACTTGACCAAAGCACTTTACACTACATTCATTCACCCATTCACGCACACACTCACACACTGATGGTGGCTACATTGTAGCCACCGCTGCCCTGGGGCTCACTGACAGAAGCAGGGCTGCTGTACACTGGCGCCACCAGGCCCTCTGACCACCATCAGTAGACAATGCAGGTGAAATGTCTTGCCCAAGGACACAACGACACTGAAAGTCGGAGTCAGGGCTTGAACCGTCAACCCTTCGATTTCAGGGCAAACTCCTACATCCAACGCCACTGTAGCAGCTCAAGGAATGAGAAACCAACTTCTTTAATGAGAAATAAATGAGAATTTATCAACTTTAGAGCCAACACTATCCAATGTAAATAAAAGCTGACCTTAATGAACCGGGAATGAGGAGAGAAAGATTAGCCAGCTGCAGAAGAAAACCAGAAAGGCCAGCGAAACTTGTCTCTATAAAGGAGGCACCAACTGTGTAAGCATAGAGCAAACCTTTTGTGAAGGAGAGAAAGTCCTTCGTGTAATGGAACTAATCAATAAATCTGACCATCTCATCTCAATCGCCACAGTGCCTGTATGAAGTCCTTATATTCAGCTCTGTTGTGGGATCAGACCATATTTTTGTTAACTCTAAATAAATTGATATACTATTGTTTTGAGAGCAAATACACTATAGACCATTCAGAGCGCCGAACATCACTATCCAGCTAGTTTTGCGCTCACCCAGTGTGGCAGGTAACAGATTCCTTCATCTGCCACAAACTCCAGAACACCACAATGAGTCATTCTGTCCGAGTTCTTGTTGGTCAGTTTGAACAGCATCGGATAGGTGATGTTAAGCCTACCTGTGTGAATAAAAAGAAAAAAATAATTACTATTATTTAGAATCATTTGATGCAATGGAGGAGCAGAGAAGAGCGTCGTTTGACTTGTACTTACTGAGCTGGTCAAGCGCTGAAGGTGGCATAATTACTATAAAAATACAAGTGGAATTGTTAGTTTTTGCAGAAAATAAACATTCTTCTCAAATAATATGAAAAGCACTATGATACCAAAAAAAAAAAAATTCAAATAACCCAAAATTATAAAAGATTTGGATTGAGTTGTTGGTTCTAAATACGTTGTAATGTTGGTGTTTGAGGAAACTAACTTCTTTATCTCTTATCCCAAAAAACATAATTCAGGACAAAGACATCTAGATAACAAAAATGGGTCATGTTTTAACCAATGTCAAAATTGTATAAAATTATATTTTTCTTAAATGGAAGGTATTGTAACATGTTTTTAATATCTGCAGCCCTTGAAGGTTTACTATCTCTATTAGTTCCTTACACCTCTGATTATCAGTCAAAATGTAATGTTAAATTTATTCTTTTTTCGTTGTTAAAGCACTATAATTTACAATGTGTACTACTATACTAAATATACATTTAAGACCGAACTCCTCCACAACTTGAATATACTTATAACTTAGGTATTTTTTTTATTTTAAAAAGATAAACATACTTTACAGTTCAGCTCGTGCCATATTATAACTACTAAATACTCTTTCATGTATATGTATAAACAAAATATATTCAGTCAGTATCAAAATAAAGAGGTTTCTCTTTTTCCTCATATGCATTATTTTTTTTATATATAAAATTTATATTTTCGCTAAAAATTATGTGATTTAATTGAACACAGTGGTTTGTTAATGCATTGCTTTAGGCTGTAAACTGTTTAGCGAAGCCTATTTACGTTTATGTGTATTCGATTGCTTTTTTTTTTTATTTAACGCAGACAAAATAACAGTCTTCTTTCTGCTTCTTTTTTCTTATTGGAAATATATGACAGAAATTGTCTGTTTTTGGGGATTATTTGCCATAGAGCAGAGGTCATGGATTAGGGGACCAGGGTCTCGATCCGGACCCACCTGCTGGCTATTCCGGACCCAACCTGATATAAAACATTTAGAAATTACCGAACGTTGTCAGACAGCAGTGTCTAACGTCACTTGCGCTGCTTCTCCTATTGGTACGGTAAAGCCCTCCAGGACCAGGCTACACGTGATGCATATTAGCCAATGAACTGTGTCAGTCTGGGTTGCTGCCGCTGGCGACTTTTAGACACAGCAGGCAAACCTGTGACAAGCCGGGCAGTAGGTAACGATGATGAGAAAACGTGAAAGAAAGTGTAGACTGCTGGAAGCAGCGCAGTGATGTGGTGACATAAAAGTGAAATGGGGTGCTCAAAGATGACCCTGCACATTTTTAGTATGTTTGGCTCAACCTGCTGCTGTGAATTAGGATTCTCCACTATGAACAAAATCAAAAATAAATATGGATCCAGGCTCAAAATGAGTACTTTGATATGTGCTTTAGAATGGCTTTGTCGCCATTCAAACCCAGGTTTAAAGCCTTGTAGGGCAGCAAAAAGCCCACTTCTCTCATTAAGCCGGAAAAAAGAAAGAAAAATAACAGTCAATTCAAGTGTTTTATAAAATATGTGAATCAGGAAATTGTCTGTATACCAAACTGAACGATTGTAGTTCTCTACTTCAAAAAAACAGTTTAGATTTTAAAATGTTGTTTTATTTAAAAAGTCAATGTATAAACATGGATGCATAAAAAAACTCATTTTGTTTCAGTGTTAAGTTCTGTTTAAAGTAACAGATCATTAAAAAATGTCTCTGGACTTTAATGGTTGATGATTTTCTTTATTCGGACCCTGCTGATTTTGAATTGGTTCCCCCTGCCTTAGAGCAATAAAATATTTCTACTTCTCAAGAGTCTGCCGTGCCAGTGGTGATAAGGTCTTGAAAATAAAACATTCAATCATATTAGTTTCCTTTGAGACATGCAAACTTTCATAGGCGACACTCACTTTTGCCTCCTTTCTCCACATCGGAGCGGTCGTTGGGTCCAGCTAACATGGACACCGAGTAGCAGCGGTACTGGGTAGAGAAACGGTTCGAAAAGCCCCGGACCATGGGGTGGTCAAAGACAGGATGGAAAGAAAACTGTGAAGTCAAAAACAGTTTGTTAATAAAATAAAACTTTGTTCCATCAGGGTACAACTTTACCTCGAGGATGACGGAGCATCTTTCTGTGTCTGTGTTGCTGTTAGCAGCTAGTTAGCTAAACTGCTAAAACTACGACTTATTTTCATACACGTTTAGCGTCAGCGGTGAATATTAGCAGCTATTGTCTTACCATTGTGACTGCGTTTGGCTTTTTATGTGGAGACTTTAAGTAAAAATTGCTATTTTTTATTTTTCTTGTAAGTTCAGCGTATTGTTGTCTTCTTTCTTCTCCAGGAAGTATTCGAGCTGACAGGCGGAAATTACGTCATGACGGCTAACATCCAGCCAGCAACCAATCAGAATAGCTTTTGTTACTTTTATTACAAACCCAATCGTTTTGTATGGCAGATTTCCTTTCACAAATATAAATATTCCAAAACTGCCCAAACTTCAAAATTTTCTGGAATGAAATCCATTTACATTGTTTGAATCTGATCAAATCATCCACAGATATTTTGGAGATTTCCAAAGAATTATTTTCTTACACTCCTTTTCATTGTTTAATGTTTTATTTCAGACCACCTGTCTAATGTTCTGTGTAGTTCTTTGTAAAATCTTTTCAATGAAATTCATTTCAAAGAATTAACCACATATCCCCTCCACTGTGAAGGATGTTTACTTCAAAAAGTGCTATACAAATTATAAAAATTACACACACGTGTATATATATATCAATAAAACCAATATTTCTTTACCAGATTCAAACTTTTCTTTCCTTTAACAAATAAATAAGGTAAAGAAGTGATTGCATATCAATACTAATATACTCAGAACATTAAGCCGGTCTAAATATTATGGTTTGGCAATAGTTATTTTTTAGTATAGGAAATTTTTTTTATTTGAAACTTTTTTAATACACTTTATTGGAGATACAAAGAAATGTAAAAGGAGCTTTAATACAGTGTATGAGAAGAAAATGCTATGTTTGATATCCTTAAAAATGAAAGGACAATACAAAATTAAGAAACTAGCTAAAATAAAAGAAAAAGGCAGAAATACAACTGAACTTTTTTGGTTATGAGGTTAAACGTGTTTTATGCGTTATGTTCAAATGATTTTATGTGAAACAAAAAATATATATACAAAAATAAATCACAGAGTAGCCTTTGTTTTCAAATCAAATGCTTTATAAAGTCTTATGAAGACCAAGTTTTTAACAGCAGCACACTGATTAAATAGAATACAGTGTCAGAGTTAGTACAGATGTCAAACAAAGACATTCCTCCCCACAAATATTTTTACAGGTCACAGACTTAATGTATACAATAAAAACTGGAAAAAGTAGGTATTGTGGTGTTATAGTTGCATAAAAATCAGTACAATCTGATAAAGACTACTGTGGCCAAGGCTTTGCTCAGTCTCTTCCCTGTTCTGTCTTCAGCCTTTAAATGGGAGGCCAGAGTTTGGTGACTTCCTGGTGCATGGCCTCAGGTAACCACTGGCAGTAGGCAGACAACAGAACTACAGGGTGGAGAAAATAAATTAGAAAACATATCAACGACACTTAGATAAAAACAAAAACAGCATTAGATCCTCACAATTCTCTTCAGTCCTCCAGATAGAGTGGAGAGCATCTCTGCTGTCGACCCTCCTTGAAACCAATGGTCCCAGTAAAGCTTCAGTTCTAGGCTGAAGTCTAAAAAAAGAAAAGATGCAACAATTTTATCTGTCAATATTCAACAGCCCTTTTTATCTCAGTTTTCAGAGTAAAAACATGATAGACAATGAACAGATACAAGGATACCATATAAAAAAAAAGATTAGGAATAAAGTCTAAAGTGCAAATTTTAAAAATATTCTTTACTTATAGTCACTTCAGCCTGGTTTATCCTTTTAACCAATTTCCAGGCCTTTGCAGACTATTTAAGAAACTCAAATATAACTATTTTAGGCCAAATTAAAGCAAATAGGTAGGAAAAATATGTAAAGGTTTTTTTACATATAGTTTTTTTCTTTTACACAATGCAAGCCTGTCTCTAATATTTAAATTACATGACAGTCTGCAGTGAAGAAATCAATTTTATCAGTACAAATGGAGATATTCAGCAACCTTCTACAATATTTACAAAAAAAAACTTACTTTGCCCAAGTTTTCATCATGATGGAAGGGTTCGACAGAAGGTGGCCTGTATTTTTCTTTAGTTTGGGACAAACCTGTGAACCATATATAATGTTAAATGACATAATATGTATGGGGTGCTTTATTTTTTAATCAAATTTAATATTTATAATGACATTTTATTTTTTTTAAATCATGCTGTTGTAAATTGAAGACACCGGTAATTTAAATGGAGGAAAATTATAAATAAAACCCTTAATTTTCATTTTTTATCAATTTTGTTTTTCTTGTGTAAATCTTTTTTCTTTGTGAAAATAATCTTATTTATTAGTTATTTATTTTTATTTACCTGCATGTATTTCCATCAATATACAGTGAAAAATATTCATAAAAAACAAAACAAAAAAACAACTGACTTTGATCAAAAAGTACAACTGTACATTTAGAAGAAAGAGCAAGTTATATTTTTTAAATGAAAGATTTTTCTTCAACAGCTAGGATATATAGTTTACTATATAATTAAAGGATTTAGTACAAAACAGATGCAAGGGATGCTGTTGTACCTGTCCCTCCAGAAGAAACCTGGCAAACAGCCGGTACCGCTCCAAACCTTCAGGATACTCCATCTCCACTGCAGGCAGCTGCCACCCGATCCGGACTAAAAGGAGACATAAAAAGATGAAATAAAGGCTGAAGAATCAGTCAGCTTTGCCGCTCAGTAACTAAATTAACTTACAGAATGTGCTCGATCTGTGGCATCTGATGGTGCCGGTGGAGGAACAGAACCACGGCACCGGAGAGTCTAGAGGAGAGCCGAAGTGACAGTACTGAGGCAGGAGCTGTGGAACCCACTCTGCTTCCACAGCTGAAACACCTGACAGGAAGAACAAGAAAATATTCTCACAAGATGGAGTCACATAAAGGGAACAGAGCTGATACATATTTATGAAGTTCAGGTTCTGAACATTTACGAAAACAAATTAGCAGAGAGCTTAGATTATATTTAATGTATTTACAAATACGAAAAAAAAATGCATAGATTAACTGGAATAGATAAAGAGGAGAAGAAAGAAAGGGGGTGAACATGGAAGTAAAAGTAGAGAGGAAAAGGAGAAAGAGGGAAGCAGACAGGAAAAAAGGAATGAAAAAAGGAAAAATATCTCCCTTTACTGCTGATGAGGATTCCCAGTCATCCAGGTCATAGTCACTCCGTAAAAGTTCAAAAATATCCACTGGACTTGGTTTCCAAGATTTGAAATCTCAAATCTTGGAAACCAAAGATGTTTTTGAACTTTTACGGAATCCCCCTTTACTGTTCTGACTTAAACATGCAGATTATTTAATCAATTTTCATCATACAAGTTGAACTGCGGAGCAATAAGACCATTTGTACATGGATGTAGAAGGTGGGATTGTGGAAACAAAGGGATGCATGAATGACCCAGCAACCTAAAAAATGTGAAAAAGACGAGGATTTCCTCCTTAGGATGAGTTCTTTATCATCATCCTTATGAGGACTTTCAAAATCCAGTCAGTAACCTAAATAAAAGTCTATTTTCCATGTTCGAAAAAATAATGATTAAACAACTTATCTTTAATAAGCACCACCAGCAACAGAGCAGCAGCTTTATTTCTAATGTCTCCTTATACTAAGTTTGTAATCCTATTTCACCCCTTTACACTTTATAATGATAATAGGTAAATTGCTAACTCTTTAAAGGTCATAGCTACAACTTTTTAATCAAAACAATTTATAATAAAATAAAAATTCTTCACAGAACATTTATTATTATCCTGTTTTCCCATAATTACTAGGATCTTTAAAACTTGGCTATAACCTGGAACATCTGAAACTCATCCCAGACCTTTGAGCCCTTCCACACGGTGGGGTTCCCATACCTCTCATGTACATTTTAGAAGTCTCCATGATCTCCTGATAGACCACAAACTCTGGCAACGTTTTAAACAAAGCAGAATTGGGATGAATGAACACCGGGTCGTCCATCAGGGGAGTCTATGATAAAAGAAAACAGTGACAAAATGAAGGGAATTAACTAAAATATGCTATCTTCTATCACAACCCAAACTTTAGGATCTGCTTACCTTATAGGCATTCTTCCACTTTGGGTCCAGCATGTCTTCTGCTTGGACGCGTCTCGCCAGGTGGTCTCCCAGCCCAGCTAGAACAATCTGCCGCAGACAGACCACCTGATGTTCTGTAGGTGGAGCCATCTTAGGGTCCACAAACACTCCCACCTCCGGGCACACAGCGTTCACTGAAAGGAGGGAAGATCAGGGATCTCCATTTCACTTCCTGCTGCAGGTTTATGTGATTTTCTGTATGTGTGCATTTGTGTACCTGCATTAGTAAGTTGACCTCTGAGCCTCCTGATCTCCACCATTGCTTTGTACCTCAATCCGTTGTCCTCACAGAACTTGGGAGTGCAGCCGGCAAATTCACAGGCACCAACAGCCCCTGCAGTCCAACACATACGGAGCTACAGTGAGACTTATCATTCTTAACATTTGGACATGCTGAGTTTCTATGGATAAATAAAGACAGAAGTGTTCAATTGAGTCTGGAACAGCCAACAAGACCTCCCAATGTACTGCGGAAAGACTGCAAGACTACATGGCAGAAAACTTCAGATTCCATGGAAAGGGATGCAGTCGAACATGGTTGAATAAAAACATTATCAAAGTCTGCTCCAGTTTACTAACAACTGTATAAATTAGTAAGACTTGTGCAGCAATAAATCAAAACTGGAGATACAATCCGAGTTGTCAAAAGTATTGATACTCAAACTCTATATCCGATACTTATGTGGACGGTATTAATGCTGAATGCAAGTGATGCATATTTTCGATATTGTTAATTCCTGATCTCTAAATTATATCTTAAACAATCTTAAAATGTTGTCAAATTGTGGTATATTTGTGTAAATCATTTGACAATTATTTGGAAACCTAATCACTGTTTATTACTATATATTTATTTTTTGTTTATACTATTTAGTAGCGCTGAATCAATTAATCATATTTAACTGTGATTGGTTGATTATTGAAATAATTGTCAACTAATTTAGTAATTGATTTCATGGTTAATTGGACAATAGAGACTCTAAAACATGCCTTTAGCTGACAGAGCAACCCACTTAGAGCAGTAATTATACAAACATTGTAAAAAAAAAAATATGTAAACATTTTGCATATAGGATAAACTTTTTTTTTATATATATCTTTTTTTTGTCCCTCTTTGACTATCTGATATTAAATAATTAATCTGAAAAAAAAAATCAACAAATTAATCGATAAGCAAGACAATAGTTAGATAATAGTGAGTTGCAGCTCTACTATTCATTTTACATCTTTCCAACTAACAGAATCTGTGATTCTGTATAGAAAGTATGTTGAGGTTGAAAAAAGGTTATTTTTTCATGTTAATAAATGTTATGTCTTTATTAACTTGGCCTGTTTTTTGTTTTTGTTTTTACCGTTCTTACCTGGCCTTTAAAGGTGACGGAAACCTACTGTTAGACGAGGACAAAATTATCCAGTATCAGTAAAGGCAAAATGCCATCCCCTCTTTAAGAACCTGTAGCTTAAGCATCAAGATATGAACCTTGGCCTTTTTAAAATCTCGTTTCCGGAGAAGTCATTTTAGATAGAGCGATGGCCACTATAGTCACCAAAACTCAACTCTAGAGGGGAAAAAAAGCTTCAGCAGCTTCACCAAATCATGTTAGTGAACAGAGGAACTTTGCCTGTAAGGAATAGTTAGAGTGTTCAGGATAGCAGCTATTTTAACTGTTTGTTGGTTGGTTTGTTTATTGTAAACAGCTTATAGTTTTTACAGTTGGTCGAAACATTTTATTTGCAGAAGGAGACGTAACAAGAAAAAACGTACGAACTTGTAGATACAAAGATACCAATTAACTTTGGGAAATAACTTCAGTTTATATAAATGGTGAAAACATAGCTGAATTTAAAACAGCTTGTTAAAAGGCAATTCACTTTGTGATTCCAATATCTTTACATATTATTTATCACCATATAATGATGCACTAGTTACAAGATGATTACGAAATTTATTCGAAAATTTATTCGAAAAAAAGGCCAACAAGCCGTAGGGTTTGATTTTATTTCAACTATGGAGATGAGTCTCTGAAAGGTAATCTCAAAGTGGGATTAATTTAAAATAATTTTAATGAATTGGCAGTTCATTAAACTTATTTTATAAAAAGCCACATAGGATAAAATGCTGGGGGTAGTGAATCAAAGCTAGTGCAACTAAAACGCTTTTAATGCAGTCATGGGTTATGGATGAAAACAACTCAGCTTTTGCAGATTTTTAAATCATTTTATAGTTTATTTATTATAATTTGAACAAATACAGTAGTAGCCATTCAAATTTCCATACTTTCCTTGATGGGTCCTTGGCTGGTCCCCTACAATTCCTTTTTAAACATCGATCTTTGTACTAAAATATTCTTTCTGTCATGATTTGTGGACATTAAAATCTAAAGAGAATCTCCTTCTCCTCGTCAGACCCTGTAATTCAGTGAAAGGATGAAGTCAGAGTATAAAAATATGCACGTCCAGGAGAAGGAGGGGGTCGCACCAGTGGCTTGAAGTTGGAGGGGATTTTGCTGAGAGTTGCAGGGAAGTGGGCTGCCATTCGGCTGGCGTTTGACTGTGATGGGCCATTTTGAATGTCTGCTACTATAAATCTATGTGCAGCTGTCTTAGGATAATAAAGCTTTTAAGTAGCCTCACCCAGCATGACCATGAGATCCCCCAGCAGGAGTGAAGCTCCCTGTCCCGCCCACAGACGCCTCATCTGGGCCAGCCGCGCTCGACGCTGGTTAAGCTTGGAGCTCTCATCGTCACTGCGAGCAGGTCTGAGGACAGATGCCAAAACATTAGAACTACAGCTTGATACCAGGCACTCAGTTAAAGACAGCTGCAGGTTTTTATGTGTCTATCAATGATAAACACAGTCCATTATGTAGATACAACATGCGCTATTACATGAAAAGGACAATGTTTTTATCTCACACTAGATGCCTTTTTTTTCTAAATGTCTAATCCATTTATTTAGAAACAATAATTAGACTCAGTGTGCAAGCATACCTGTCAAAGTCCTCAAAAAGTTCCCGGACAGTCATGGCTGAAACCACAGCGATGATGTAGGGCAGACAGTCCTGCTGCTTTCCAAGCGCCAACATTTTAGCATAACGTGGAGCCACAGGAAACGACGCCATGGCTCTACCCAGCGGAGTGATGGGACAGCTGAGCTTCGCTCGTTGCAAGTCTTGCATTCTTAAAAAACAAAAAAATAGCTGTTAACATGGGGAAAAACAAAATTAATGTAACAAAACAACAAAAGATCTTTATTTGTATAAAGGCAGGTGATTAGCACAGCTCTTAAACTCTTTCCAATTTGGATACAACTACAAACTTTAATTTAACCTCATGGGATTTTATGCGATGGGCTAATAAAGTAGCACGTGATTGCAAAAACCTGAGCTTTGAACATCACATGAAGCACAGATCATTCTAAAAAAGGAAACGATGTAGCACAATTACAAATAAGAGCTGTCACATGCAATAAGAGGATGAGCAAGGACAGCATTATTAAGGAGGAGGCCCATGTTAACTGGAAGAGCTATAAAATAATGTATTGATGGGCAGATTTGTGGAGTTATGGATGAATGAGGCTAAAAACAGGAAAAACCTGTTAGAGGTTGTAAAAGGCTCGGGACAGGCCAGAGGTTTGACTATGAGGCGAATAACCATTGTGAACATATAGCCAGAGCTGCAATGGAACAAGTACAGCAAAGCATTTTCATCAGTCAGAATGGCCTAGTAAAAGTCCAAACGTAAATCCAATGGAAAATCATAAGCAATCATTTTAAATCTGTTCTCAAACACAATCCATCCAATCTAACTGATCTAGGGGAATAAAAAAAAAGAGGAGCAGGCAAAAATCGGTTTAAGTCCTACTTTAAATGTTTATGCCTTTATGAAACACATTTTCCTCAACTTCAATGAGTTTCCACACATTGGCAAGTCGCTATTAATGAGAACATCTCAGAGAAAAATGTTAGAGGAAAATCCTTTAAGCAGGAATCTAATGAAACCAACTTCTAGTCTGATGATCATTGGACTTTTAGATAGGAAACAATCTTCCTGACTGAGCAACTACAGCTATAATGAGCTTTACTAATAAACTCATAACCTGAGGCATTCCCAGTGAGAAACATTAAAACCCAACCAACTAAACCTGTTTACATTTGCTTTAAACTCTATATTTAACATTACTTTATCTGTTCATGATGGTTTTAAACCATTTTGCCCTCAATATTTTATGTATTATGCTGCCATTTAAATGAGCTTTAGATAAGAATTAGTTAAACTTCATCATCAAAAAAAAAAAAAAAACCTCAACAAGTTTTCTGTAAAGCATTGCAACAGTCAGCTACCTTCCAGAACGAGGTGGCTCTTCCAGAGCTCCCAGTGAGACCAGTAACTCCTCTGCAGCGACCAGAGCCTCAGCGGAGGGAGGTGTGGGGAAAGGAAAATTAACCACCTGCAAAAACCACAATTTGAAAACAAAACGTGTTGTTTGCTTTTTTGTCCTTTTCCCTTAAAACATCTGTTTTGTCTCTTTCAGACCTTATCGATGTTAAGATCCTTCATCTGCAAAACCAAGTCCTCTACAGGCCTGCGGGTGATCTCTGCTTCGGAAAATTGGCTAAAGTCTCCAAAAACCGCAGAGGAATACAACCTGTGCAGGGAAGCAGAGAAGAAACATAAAAGCGTCTGTAAGTTAGAATCAGACGCCTCGATATCTGACCACTGTCTATTAGTACTGACCTGTAGCAGTGTCCCGCCTCCGTTCGTCCAGCTCTGCCTGCCCTCTGATTGGCCGATGCCTGGGAGGTCCATGTGACTTTAAAGGACGACACTCCTGTGACTCGGTCGTAGTAACGCTTCTTAACTCTGCCACAGTCGACGACGTATTTGATGCCAGGAATGGTCAAAGACGTCTCTGCGACGTTTGTGGCGACGACACAGAGACGAGTGCCTGGCGGAGGAGGCCTGAACACCTGCAGTCATAAAAACACTATATTTACATTTGGGTTCATCTGAAAATGTGGGGAAGCAGTTCTTTGCTGTGGGAGCAGCATAACTGGGTCCAGAATGCAGAGTTAGGAAGCAAACTTAAAATTGGTGGTAGAGGTACAGAAACCTCTCCTCTCCGCATTGCAGGGGATGGTCAGAGAATGAGTAACATGCTAACTCAAAACTGCCATTGACTCATTTTTAAACATCACTGAGGCAAACATATTGGCCTTACCTTCGCCTGCTGTTCAGGGGCCAACAGAGAATACAGAGGGAGAACATAGAGAGGAATGGACGGGTCGGCTTTGTCCTCTACAGAAACAAACAAAGAGCAACACTTTGCTTAGGATATTTATTGTCAGTGTTTGATAACAACAAACTGTTCAGTAGCTCTGGGTCAACAGCTACAAATAAACGATAAAACAATAATGACTTGCTGTTTCCTTTTTTCAATAAAGGCCAAATAAAATAGGAATTTCAACCTTTGTCAGTTAAGCACTGGTTTTAAACTTGTGAGTAAAAGAAATGACTTTCAATATAGTCACAGTAACTCTTAGTAAGGTTAAACTCGGAAGGAAATGATAATGAGGATGAATGTTTAGATGTCTTTCCCTATGAAATCTTTCCAAACCCAGAACGAGCTAAAGGTGTTTTTGAGTAACAAGGGACTGCAAAAGGTTCACCAAATGTTCCTTAATAAAAATACATCTCTAAAAGTTTACTTTAGGGCTAATCATTAACCATCTGTCAGGATTAATTTACCCGTGTCGGCTGGATCGTCGCCTAGTTCAAGGTCCGACCCTCCGTCCTCCTCATCTCCGATACCCGCCTCTCTGTCCTCGTCCCCCTCATCCACTGGCAGGGCAGAGTAGTTATCCAGGTCGATCCGAGGCAGAGACTACAATCAGAGTTAAAAGTTCACAAAAACATTTAAAAATATATCAGACAGGGAGAGAATAAAACATTTTTAAAAATCCAGTATTTTTAGGATTTTATTTTCTTAATGTCTAATCTAATACAGCCATTTCACAAAAGCTTATTGAAACATTGCTGCAGTATATGAGATCGGTCTAAACCCACAGAAAAATTTTTGTCTTTACAGCAGATAAACTCACAACATTCTTCTTCTTTTTGAGCTTCTTAAATTTCCTCATTGCCTCAGCCGTGTCTGCTTCCTGTTCGTCAGCTAAACAGAGAAACAGGGATATTCAGAACAGAAGGGATCCTTCTCAGGGATCAATGGTTATTCATATGGGGAGAGGCTGACCACGCACCAGTGGCTGTGCTGCCCTTCCTGAATGGGAAGGCATTCCTGAGTCTCCTGCAGAGGCTGTGGACCTCAGCCTGTCCTGTTAGAAACACCAGGATGCCCCCTGAGCGAGAAAACAAATACCATCACCAACTGTCCCCTTTTACACACACAGAATGCTCAGTGCATGCATTGAAAGTACTGATAAAGAATAAACTATGGCTGAAACAATTATTCGTGATTAATCAATTATTGAAATGATCGTCAATTAATTCAGTAATCGATTAATCGTTAACTGGAGCATAGACTCTAAAACATGCTTTTAGCTGACAGAGAAACCCACTTAAAGCAGCAATTATACCAAAATTGTATAAAAGAAAGGAAAAAGTATGCATTTAAGACAAAAAATCTATTTTTCATGCTCTGTCCAAAACACCTCCAGTGGAAAAGTTTCAGTTTCACCTGGTCTATTTTCGCAAAATGTCTTTTTTAATTAACCTTTTCCTATCTGATTATTGATTAATCGAAAAAAATAATCGACAGATTAATCAATTTGCAAAATAATCATTAGTTGCGGCCCTAAAATAAAAGTTAAAATGAAAAATACCAGGAGGCAGCATCCTGTGGATTTTGCAGGTCTTGTGAAAGGCCTCCCCGGTGTAGTCGTCCAACGGAGTTCGTTTGTTGAAATGTACGGTGACCGGGAACTGCCGAGCATCCACCTTAATGACGGGCGGTACAGTCCGAAAAAGCTTCTGATTTTCTGTGAAGTCCTCAATGCGCAGAGTGGCTGACATGATCAGCAGCTTCATGGGCATCCCTTTCTGCAGGCCGACGCATGGGAAAAACAGGCACAAAGTACAATTTGAGGAAAACTTATTTTTCGTGAATCTGGTTCAATATTGCACTGGATTCACGCCACAGAGAGCTGTAAATGCAACAAAATATAAACATTTAACTGCTTATGTAGTTAAATGCTATAAATGATAAAAGAAAAAAATTCCCAAACAAATTTTTTTTTTTTTAATCTTCACCAAAATACAGCTTCTCCATTTCAGACTCTAAAACCCTTGGACTAGGAACATACACTGGGCAATATGTTCAATCGTTGCATGCAGCTGCAGCTCAAACTGTACGATGAAATCGCAGGGTTTAAAAGTTCACAGCTCATGATGTATGTTCTCACACTGTGCGACCCGACGCTCTGATGCGATCTACCTGCTCACACTGTACGTCTAAAAAACACCCGTCAGGCACAGTGCCGAGAGACAGCGCTGGTCTGACTCAATCTGGAAGAAGTAGAACTCCCTTGTTTGCACATGTGCAGCGCTCAAAGTTCTGGTAAATCGGCTCATAGCGCTACTTCAACAGCAGGATTTGTCCACGATCGACCCTCGTTACCCACTGTATACTATATGATCAAGGACGCACAATGAGGCTGAAACTCGGCCGCATTGTAAAAATTCTTGCACGACTGGAAAGTCAGCCCGAAAAGGGCAAAAAAATCATACAATCCAGGCCTGGCTTAAAAATAAAGAGAAAAGAAGACAGAGTAGGCATACTGAAGTTCAGAAAAATAAAGTAGTGAAGAAAAGGTTAATTAATTAGTCCTTTTGATTTTTTTAATGATATGCATGCATTTAGTTTTATAGAAAAGTTTTATTAAAATGTTAAAATCATATTTTGATGTGATACATCAAAGAAAGCATGGACATAAAAAAATAGAACAAGAAACAGTCCAGGAAATCTCAGTATGTAGTTTTCTATATTTTAAATATGGAGAACGTTTTGTACATTCTCAAATTTTCAGGAATATGTATGAACAATGATATCAGGCAGCCTTTATATACACGCCAAGGATTAGATGGATATCTAATTCAAAGTTTAGCTAAACATTTAGCAAACATATATTAATGGGAATTTGCCTGAAATTAGGTAAACACAAAGGTGTATCCATCAAAAGTGAAACACAGCACAGCATTGTTCCTGACCTTGTTTCTCAGTGGGACGATGCGAGACAACAACCCAATCAGGATGTCCGTGTAGACGCTGCGTTCGTGGGCCTCGTCTATAATTATCACACTGTATCGCTGGAGCAGGAAATCCTGCAAATCAAAAGAAAAACACAGAAAAATACAAATAGTGTTAACTTCAATTTAGACCTATTCCTCGATCGATGCTAAGCAGGCTGCTTTCATGCAGAGCCTGGGAATTTAGGCAGAAATAAAACAGAGTAAAACCTTCTGAATCTCCTTCAGCAGGACTCCGTCTGTCATGAACTTGATCTTTGTGTCACTCGTCACATTGCCCTCATATCGAATCTGGTACGACACCACTCTGAAACACAGAAAGTTGATTTATTATCAGTAATTTAATAAAAATGTTCCCTTAGGATCTAAAGAGATCAAATATTGAACCTACTGTGTGGGAAGGTTCATCTCTTTAGCCACTCTGTGTGACATACTGACAGCGGCGACCCTCCTTGGCTCTGTGATCCCAATGATCCTGCTGCCGCTGAATGAAAGAAGCAGAACAAAACTTTTCTTAAGCTATTGAAAAAACGCTCAGGTTATTAATTCGATGGATGGATGGATGGATGGATGGATGGATGGATGGATGGATGGATGGATGGATGGATGGATGGATGGATGGATGGATGGATGGATGGATGGATGGATGGATGGAAGAAAGGACAAAAAGATGGATGGAATTTTTAAAAGTCAGACATTGTGTAAATAAAAGAAAATACAGATATTTTTCAATGTTCAGATTTTTCCAAACTATGATGTGATACTAGAACATTTTCTCTAATTTAATGTCAAAAGAAACTTATAAAAACAAAATGGATCCCCTACCTGGCATAACCAGCCTCATACAGGAACTGAGGAACCTGTGTCGTCTTTCCACTTCCTGTCTCTCCACAGATGACAACGCAGGGATTCTCCTTGACTGCCTCCATGATGACCTGCTCCTCACCCAGTACTGGGAGCTTCAGACGAGCTTCCTGCAACAACAGAATTACTTCAAGCAAACAAACAAAGACCAAATCCATGAATGCATGCAATGGGATTTCCCCTCACCTGAACCTCCGCTGACCGGTTGACGGGAATAAAGACAGCCGGCTCTGAAAGCCTCTTGCTTTGTACGGTGTTCTGATCAGTAATGGTCTCTCTCTGTTTATCTGGATCCACGTCATTCTGCTCCACCTTCACTTCCTGTTCGCTTTTAGCAGCTGTAAGAAGTTTGGATGTCTCTGTGGAGTTATTCCCTTCGTCTTCATCCTCTTCTTCCTCCTCAGAAGATGTCTCGTCCTCACTGCTTTCTTCTTTCTTTGGTTCTTCATCCTCTTCTTCTTCTTCTTCCCATTTTCTTTTTCTGTTTGCCCCACTGACACTGCTGATCTTTGGACCAGAGCCTCCATCTTTCACTTCATCCAATGACCTGAAAAGAAGGAAAACCACTGATCCCCAAAATCCACAGAGTAATCATACTGCTGCTGTCTTTAAATCTCTATTCGCTAAAATCACACAATCCTGCGATTTCCTTTATTTCTGCACATAATGGTTTTTAGATCTAAACTTACTGTTTAGTTTGGTAAAGTTTTCCTCCTGTTCCCAGTTTGGATGTTGTATACAAAAGTTTCAGTTCAGACTCTGGAAGCTGCACCTCACACAGTTTGGTCAGAATATCTGCCCTCTAAAAACAGACAGAGATATCTTTATGGGATATGAAATAAATAAAAATATAGGGTTTAATAAATGTCCTGAAAGTAAAAGAAATGTCCTTAAATTATGTCTGAAAACAGAAGAACATACAAAAATACTTTGATCTTTTATTTTCAGATGGTTGCAATAAAAAGAAGTAATAACCCTGTTATAAGTTTTCTACAATTTGCCACATAACATTAATAAACCTTAACATATTTCATTGGGATTTGATGTTCTATATCTATAAAAAATACAGCACAGTCATGATTCCTTTTGCATTTTCACCTAATTTAATTATGTAAATGACAAATAAAAACATTTACCTATATATTCTCTAAGTTAGTTCCAAGTTTAGGTAATAACTAAACCTCAATGAATATAGGTTTAAGCTGTAGGAAGTTTTATTTTGCTATGGTTGACACAATGGATGAAATAAGGAATCCTGAAGTCTGTATAAAGTCATTATTTAAGACAGATCAGGACAGACTTTAAGGTTTTATTTGTTAACATGATCTTTGTATTATTGAACTGAAATCGTATATAATGATACACAATTCCCATATCCATTTAGTATCACACTGCTACATACTGATTACGGCTGTGGTTCTTGTTGTCTTACATGAGCTTTCTTCTCTTTACGCTCCAAGACCTTTTGTAGCTCTTTCCTTTGCTTCTTTGTGAGAGGTTTTTTAGGTTGTTTAAGGTTTTGCTCTTCCTTTGTTTTCTTCTTGTTTCTGTAGGCTGGAAGGACCAGGGCGTTGCTCTCGTCCACACCTTTCAACCTGTCTCCATCTGTCGAAAAAAAGAAAAGAAAAAAGACAGATAATCTAGAAAGCTATTATACAAAGAGGGAATGGACAACCAATTTGATATCCATGTTTCTAACCGTGCAGCTCAACCACAACACCCGTCTTCTCTTCCTTCGCTGGTTGCTGAGTGTCGCTTTGCTGTCTCCCTTTCCAGTTGTGCTTCTTCCTCAACTTCCCCATTTTAAACCAAAACCTGGGTACAATGCAGAAAACACACTATGATACCGAGACAGACACGGCTCACTAATCTGAACAACTAAGATAGGACCACGTCACCAAAATGTCTTCATGCAGATAATGTCGTGATTATAACTGTTGTTCGGTTCTTACTTTTTCGGCTAAACCCTTCAAAAAGGTTGCAGAGAATAAAATAGATGCTTCTGAAGGAACTCATGTGGAACCCCACATAGCCTTCACGTGTAAACATCTATGTGTACGTCACTATAAATTGTCCCCCCCGAAATAAGGGTTTCTCCGGAGAAATGTTCCGCGGTACATTAAATGTCAATTATTTTCAAGTATTTTCAAGTATTTCAAGTATTTCAATTAAAAATGAAATACAAATATAATAAACGATATAGAAAATAATAAATATAAGGAAATTAAATGATAAATTATCATTAGTAATAATACCGAATATCATAAAATGGAAAAGGAAAGAAAGAAACAGAAAAAAAAATAGAAAAATTAAAAGAAGGTGGCAGAAGAAAATTAGAAGAATTTTCAAATATGAAAGATAGGCAGGGAAGAGTAAAAAGGATAGAGTTGCATATAAATTGAGAGGTGTTTAACTTAGAATGATAAATAAAAGACAAAAGTGGGATACAAAAGATAATAAAGTTTAGTTTATTATAATTGTTTAGTCTAGAACAATGGTCAATAATCCATATAGATTTACCTCTTTATTCTTTGTATTCAAATATAAACTTAAAGCATTGTTCTTAAAAAGATAAAGAGTCACAAGTTTTAAAATATGCATATCAAGAATTGTCAAATTATATATATATATATTAAAAAAGAAAAGAAAAGCACAATACTTTTGATTAAATCTTTATTTTATTATATTGGTCTCATCCTCCAAATAGCTTTAAATATTGAAGTTTCATAGAGTTATAAATGTATTCCTATTTATAACATTTTACATGACATTTCCAATACAAAATTACTTAAAAGATATTTTATGGTGAAAGATAAACTTCTTGGTATATTTGGACTGAAATGCAGTACAGATATGTGACATGTTATGCAGCAAATTCTGCAGGTAACAAAATAAAGATTTTGAAGAATTAATTTGTTTTAGAGTTGAGCTAGGGTTGCAAGTGTATTGTTTTGTTACTCTAATCACTTATATTATTTTTAAAATCTGATTTAAAAAAAATGACTGAGGCTGGTTGATGGTGGTGCATTTAGTAGCTTAAGATCTGGGTTTGATCCCTGGCTTTGGGTCTTTCCGTATGAAGTTTTCATGTTCTCTCCATATATGTTGTCTGTGGGGACTCTGGCTTCCTTTCGTCTTCCAAAAACATGACTATTAGATTAAATGGTCTCTCTAAGTTGTTCTTTGTTGTGTGTGCGCATTGTTTTGTGTCTCTGCAATAGACTGCTAAGCTGTCCAGGGTGTAACCCAACTCCAAGACTGCTGGAAATAAGCACCACCCTCTTGTGATCATGACAGAAAAGAGGTAAAATATGGATGTATTAAAGCAAAATGTATGAAACAGAGACAATCCAGTTTTTTTTCAGAATATAGACAAAAAACAAAAACAAGTACTGTTATTGAAAATAAAATGACAAACCTTTAACCTTTGTTATACTCTTATTTAGACAATTTAATATCTTTTTAACGAAATATTATCAGTTACCACAAGCTGTAAACCAAAAAGAAAAATCAAAATGTTTTTCCTCTAAGAGTATTGATCCAGTCATAGAAACTTTCCAAGCTTAATCCAAACAGGCTTCTAAACCCGTTAAAAAGCCGACTCTTTTCAGTGAGGAAATTCTTCCCATCAGATGCTGCTGTCCTTTAAGCGCTCATAATCATTCTCTCGGTGACCATCCCCAGCCGCGAAGCTTTCCTCTGTGGCTCGTTTGGCCTCCTTTGAAATCCTCTCAAACCTCCTTAAGAAAGCAATAAGAGCTATCAACAAAGCCGCCTGGACCACCACAAACACTATCAGAGATCCCAGAGAGGCGAGGGCCAGGTTACAGTACCAGTAGTGGCACGACTCCAGCACCTCCTCCTCGGTCAGATACACCACAGACCGGCCTCTTAGGCTAGGAGGCGAGCTGCAGATGACCCCCAAGTGGGAACCCATGCTGGCGGACTGACGCCTCAGCCAGGCTCGCAGGTAAAGGATGCCACAGTCGCATATCCAAGGGTTACCGTGAAGGGACACAGAGGACAGGGAGGTCAGGTCATCCAGGATCCCATTGGGGAGTGTGCTCAGCAGGTTGTCATGCAGACGCAGCTCCTCTGTTTCTGCAGGGAAGCTGGAGGGCAGGGAGTCAGAGGTGATAGACCTACTGCTGCAGTCCACCTGAGAACCCTGACAAGAGCAAAGATGGGGGCACGCCAGTGATCTGTGAGCTCCCAATGAGAGGAGAAGACCCAGGAGCAGGTGCACAGTCATGGTTAGCATGCTGCAGAGAAGAGACAAAAGGTGACATTTAAGTTGAACTGGGTGATGACATTTGTCATCTTTCTTTTTTAAAAATCTTGTTCTGCTTCATGTATTGATTCTAGATTCATACTATCTTTTTGGCTCATTTCGTTTTCAGATGATTGGAATATTTATGGGTACTGCAACTGGATAAGAGCTTTGATTCAAAGAGGAAAAATTATGATTTATTTTCTGTTTTTTATTATTTTGTCATACTGCTTATCTTCTTTTCTGAATGGCTTTTGCCAGGCTCATTTATTTCTTTGACTTAATATGCTATTTGATATACTTTTGATTGTTCTATTTAAAAGGACCTAATTTATGGAGCTATAGATCCATTAGTTCAGTTCTGTACAATGAATGTGCACTTTTAATTATATTGAAATGGGTCTCACTCAGTAGTGCCACAGCATTTCAGAAGTTTTTTTTCTGAATGTTTTTCTTTTAAACTGGGTTTATGTTTCACACATGTTGCAGCACACCAAGCTTTGTGTGCTTAAAAGATTATGGAAGTGGAAAGGACCACTGCAGTGAGGGACCACTGCAGAAGAGTCAGGGATTCAATTGATGTATGCAGAAAGTATCAAGAAACTGAAACCAAGAAGATACTTCACACAAAACATGAGCAATGTGTTTTCTTTTAAAAGCAAATCGTTAAAAAAAAGTCCAGTTTACAACAGGTTCTTTGTCAAGTTAAAGATTTTAGGATTTTAGGATGAAAAAACAAAAAGCATTTTTTGAAAAAGATTGGATATAGTTCATTTCTGCACAAGGTAAATGAACTAGACAGCTGCTTTAATCCCTATCGGTTGGCCCCACACCGAGCAAGAATTTCCTGCATCATATGCTCACGATAACTTAAAACTGTATTTCATCCTCCAAGTGTGCCCAGCTAATAAGATGTTAGGCTATAAAAGCATCATGTAGAACTGGTTAGAGATATTTCTCTGCCTTGCTGCGGTGCTGACTTGGGTTTGGACATTATAGCAACAGTTAGATCTAACCTGCTGCTCTGTTCAGGGGGACATCGGCCTGGTCCGAACTTGAACTTAATTGATTTCACAATGGAAAAATTAACTCTCTGCATTTAACCCATCCCCTTGGGGAGCAGTGAGCTGCCACTGTGCAGCGCCCAGGAAGCAATTGGGGGTTAAGGGTCTTGCTTATAGATCCAGAGTGGCAGTCTGAGTGAACTTCTAATGCACAACATCACGATTCGAAGCTCTTTGCCCTAACCACTCCAAATGAATAGATTGGGCTTAACTGCATGTGTTGACAACTAGGATCAATTAGAATATATGTTCCTTGCATCAGATTTAATAGACCTGACTTTCTATTTTACGAAGAACACTATAAATAACCTGCATAACTTCCAGCATAAGTAATTATTCAATGCTACATACAAAGTCAGATATTAGAATTTATTTTAATATCAAATTTTTGTTTTTTGTTCTTTACCAGAAAAAATGTGTTTATTTTTGATAGTAATAAATATATCCAAGTAAATTATATCCACCAACGACAGATATGTAAAATCCCACCAGATTATGCTTCATCTGCAATTTTATTACGTATCACTTCAGCTAAAGGATCATGTAGAACATTTCTTTTACAAATTCATACACTTTTTAATATTTGCTGACCTAGAAAATATAAATTTTTTCTGACTCTTGTATGTCTACAGGAGTCCTGCTGGACATATTAGATTCAAAATATCACATAAAAAAAACTAATAGTATAAAAGTCTAAAAAAAAAAACGATAAAGCCTGATATTTACCTTTGTTTCTGAGCGACTTGTGAGGATGACTTTGCTTCTTCTGATGGATTTTAGAGCAGGAATGTTTCACCAGTTTGCCAGCTGGCTCATACTGATAAAGACTGCTGTCAAATTATGAGTGTGTTTTCATACACATACATGCTTGTGTGGAGTCAGATAATCTACACCATGATGGAAAGAGAGAGAGAGAGTTAAATGATCCTTCTTTTCATAGAAAATATAGAGTTAGGTCATAATGTATTTTCATAACTCCTATTATGAAGGTTTAGGTTAAATTTCAGCAGATTTAATAAAAAAAAAACTTTCAATAGAGTTTCCATAGGTACATTTGATAACTCTTTCCAGAAAGATTCAAACAATTACTAAATATTTTAAAAATGTAATGCTGCATCAAAAACATAGAAAAGATTAGTGTTGCTGATCAGTTTTTCGCCAGGACTGTATCACAAAATTACTGAGGACATCCAATTCTTTTTAACTGGACCTGTGAGGGTTATTCAAAGCTATTAATACTTTATGTATTTTTATCGAAACCGTGGGTACTTCACTGTAATAGTAAAACATATATCTTTACATGTTTCAAGCTGTTTAGCCATTAATGTGTTTGTAAGTCTGGTTTATTTTTTAACCTACTCCAAAAATGCTAAATCCTACAAAATTAAAACTTTTATAAAGTATGAAAGTAGAAGTTTTTTTGCACAAGCTATATTATATCACTGTATCCTCAGCCTGGCAGGAAGATGATGCTGTGAGCAGAGGGAGGGAAGGAGCGGTTGCTGCAGATAAATATGAATCAGCAGATCGTGTTCCTGCAGAAGGTCCCTCTTCCAGTCTAGTTGATGTGTGGAAGTGATAAAGGAAACTGTGAAATGCTCACTGGATTAATCCTCTAAAAATAAAAAAAATTAAATAATAAGTCAGAAATTCCATGTTAACAAGAAGAGGAGTTTATTTATCGTACTTTTGCAAAATGGGACACAAAGACTGAGCTAACAGCCTTCAGGGAACTTCTGTACAGGCCATCAGCAGCAGTACAGTCAGCACACACCCATACAAACATACACACACTCCCACACAGTCACTTGCAGACACTTTGCAGTCTTAACTCACATGGAAGTTTTACTACATCAATGGCTTTACTCACTTCTAGGGAGATAAGTTTAAACAGAAGCACAGACACAGTATTTGCTCCTCCTTACTTATTTTCCTTAATGCAGCGGCGACAAAGCAAACTGCACATTGGATGCATTAGATACAAGCACAAGGAATCAGTTACAAAGCAGTAAAAAATAGGCCCAACGCTTCCAGAAGATATGAGTAATGACAGCATGCACACACATGCTCCCTATAATGCACAAACCCTTATTTTAGCAGTTAGCTGCTGCCAATAAGTGCTGTTTCAGCTCAGATTGCATGTAAGAAAACTCTGGAGGAGGATGTTTATACTGACCTTAAGAAACTCTTAATGTTAATTAACAAATTCACAGCAAAAGTTAGATTTTAATTAATTAAATTTCCTTAAGAGGGAAAACAGGTTTCATGGATGGAAATCTGGAGTTAAAGATATATTATGATATAAGCTCAAATATCTAACACATAATCGCAAAATAACACCCAGGTTCAAATCTAACCATCAACCTACAGTTCTTTACAAAACATCTCACATTATATTCAAAAGAATTGCAAGCACTGTGTTATAAATTAGTCACTGACAAGTTATTTAAATTATATCTTAAAATTATTTGAGTTGATATCACAGCCAGGGGCTCAAATTGGAAAACGGAAATGACCTCCAGGCAGACAGACAAAATGGAGCACCAAAATGAATAGAAATGCAGCTGTCAGCCGGAGTTCCCGCGCCGAACGATCTAAATCCAGGTCTGAAGATCTCATGGGGGTTTTGGGGTAGAAACAGCAGGTTGCAAAGCAGGATAACTCTGCCTCTGGAAATGTCACTGGTCCTTCTCATGCATCTGCTGCTGGATCTTATTCAGCATCTCCTGCATCCTCTTCAGCTGTGTAGAGAAAGAGAACGGATGGTTAAGGAGGGACACACTGACACACTGTAAATAAGCTGCCTGTTTTTGCAGCAAGCTACAAAACAGACTTTACATTAAAAAACATGGATATAAACAGATAAAAAAGAATAAACCTGGAAAAATCTAGGGCTGCAACTAACAATTATTTTGCAACTCGATTAATCTGTCTATTATTTTATCGATTAATAATCGGATAGACAAAGATTCTTTCAAGCTGACTTTTTACGAAATTAAACAGGTAAAACTCAAACTTTTCCACTTGAGGAGTTCTGGATAGAGCATATTGACAGGCATTTCTTTTTTCTTAATCTAAAAGGTGTAGTGGAGGATTTTCGCAAATTTTTGAAAAGATCTGCCCTCTCCCCTTTTTAAAAAAATGCACATGCACAACCCTGTACCCGTTCGCGAGAGGGAACGCCTATTAAACGTGTGCGAGAGCGTGCACAAGCCCATTTCTCCTTGTGCACGCTCTGTTTAAAAGTAGCTGTTTGCATCACTCATACAAGCTGACTTTCCAAAAAAAGATTTGCATTTGCTCAACTGTCATAGACTCACCACAGGTAAGTGAAAATGGGTATGAGCAGGTAGGATGGCCCTACGTAAACATATCACCAGAATGATTGACAATTAGGAGGACCACTTATTTTGATAATCCACTCGGAAAAAGAACATCTTCCACTTTACCTTTAAATGCAAAATGTTGATATATTTTTGTACAATCTTGGTATAATTACTGCTCTAAGTAGGATGCTCTGTCAGGTTTACTCCTGATTAATTGTATTCTAAATTAGTTGACGACTATTTCAATAATCAAATAATCACCATTATTTGATTATTTCTAGTTTCAGCCCTAGAAAAATTACAATTGTTTTTGTTCTTGACTTGCTTTTTTCCCAGACATCTTTGTAACCTGATCAAATGAAATTCGATGATCTTCTATGACTGCGACTAAAGTTCGGCAGCTGAAGACTTTCCAAACCAGTTTAGAAATACAGTATGTTCATTATCATTATCTTGCTGGAACACCCAATCATGTCCGAGCGTCAATCATCTTTTAGATCTAACCAGATTCTATTAAATAGGGTCTTACATTTGGTACCGACTTTATTGCTGTGGGAATTATTGCACCATTCACTACTGTGCAACATGTATTTCACAAAGCTTGAGTGTGAAGTGGAAAAACAATTAACAATCGACATGTTTATGTCCTTCTACACCATCAATTGTCTACATGGGCTTATCTTTGCAAGCCTGAGGGCTTGAAAATAACACAATACATTGAAAATAAATACTCCAAACACTGACATACCTCCTCATCTTTCATCTTGATTAGCTTCTCAGTGTCCACGTCTGGGGTGGACAGTGGCAGGATGGGAATGGGGCTCTCCATCCGATTGTCCTGAGCCAGTTTACTGAGAGATGAAGCAGACAGAAGAGAAGGGATTAAATGTTTATATCTATTAACATAAACAACTCTGATTATAAACGTTTGATGTTTGTTCTTTAGACTATTTCTAACACAGAGAGACCAACCTGGTCATCTCCTGGATGCACTGCGCTCTGTAGTTCTCATAGTGGACGTCACAGGTTACATCTTTGAGGTCGTGCATGTGTGAGCGGATCAACATGTTCCTCAGTTTCACAAAGTCACAGTGTGACTGGTTTTCCACTGTGGAGATAAACTTTTTATCAACAAGCCTGCTTACAAGCATACAGTTCTTGCAACACTATCACATCCTCTGGAGTTTAACCGTTTTGTCTCATAACGACCACCAGCTGCAATGCTGTTTTATGTGGATTAATTGATTTTATGTGACAGATTAACACAAAGCAGGGTCAGTAGACGCCCTGCTGGAGGTTGGTCACCAACCATGCAGGCGACTGTAAGGGAGAAAGCGGATCTTGTTTAGATGGGATAAAAATTGTACTTCTTGATCTACATGCAAAATGCTGAGTGTGGTTGGAAATCAACACCATGAACACATCGTTCCCACAGTGAAACATTGAGGTGATAACATTGTGCTGACGAGAAGCCGGATGGCGCTAAAAACAGCACAAAACAGAAAGGAAAACATGCCTGAAGCTGCACATGATTTTAGACTGGGGTGAAAGTCCCCAAGTAGGACAATGATCATAAACGTACAGCCAGAGCTAAAATGGAAACGGTTACATCAACCATTATTCATGAGTGTACAAGTCCCAATGTATGTAGCTTATATTCTCTGTCATGAGGGCTGAACCAATGCGTCATTCATCAAATTACCTTCTACAATCCCCCAGGGGTACAGGCGTCCTCTCACCCTCTGTCCTCTTGCCTCCACCACAGTGTTGCTGCCGATCACAGCGAATGGTGTGCACTCCTACATGCAGGATGACAAGTTGTTATTTTAAACCCATTTGCACAGGAAAGGCTGGCTGAGCATGCTGGTGCATATTCACATATTTAGACACGTTCTCTAAAGAGCCATGCAACTAAAAGGGAAGCATCACAGGGATTGCTCAGACATGTAACACATTGCATGCTGTTCCTTTTTTTCTATTTTAAACGCAGAATAGGAAAAGTCACGCCACCAGCTATATCATTTTATTTTTGGATGTTGAAAGTGATAGAAAATAATAGCGCCTATAGTGCATATAACATTTAAACTTCATGTCTACTGACATAACCTATTAGCTTAGTGATCCAGTTCAGAGGATTCACTGTTTAGACCAAATCTCTGAATACTAAATCAATTTCTGCCAAATCAGCAGCAGAATATCTTTAGTTTGGCTGCAAATCTGAGATATATGAGCCTTTTCCTTCTCAACTCAGACCGAAAAAATGCAATAAGAGTTTGATACACAGCGATAAGAGAGAAATGTCAAACCAGACTTTTATTTTCAGCTTCAACTGAGACTTTTCAGAAAGAATAGAATAATCTTTATGAAAAACACAACACAAGCTTTAATTAGTTGTAACTTAGGCTACTGTAAGTTCAAACAAAGAACTCTTTTGTAAAAGATTCTGCGAAACCGGTTGATTATCCCAAACACCTGACCTTGGATTAAGAATCTTATTTGAGACCCTT